CAATTGAGCTGAATAAAAGTTCTACAAAAACAATAAACATACTAAATTAGATATACCAAAAACTACACTATGAAGATATACCAAAAACAATAATAAACATAAAGAGTAGTAGTTTATTCTTCAAACTTAAATTTGCAACACTGTGAATTTCGTATTTGTCTTTGTTTTTTTGTTGAAGTAATGCAATTCATTCAAGTTTCAATTTGCAGAAGAAGAATAGTTTCTGAAAATGAAAATCGCAACACGAAAATGACTATCGCAACGCGAATTTGACTATCGCAACGAGAGAATCGCAACGCGAAACTAAAATCGCGTTGAGATTTTCATTTCGCGTTGCGATTCTCGGTTGATTTAATAAGAAATCTAAGTGAAATGGTTAATCTATTATTGAAATTACCAGTAAACTTATAATCAATTTCAATATGAAAAACCTAATAATAATGCAAAAATTTCAAAAAGAAAATAATTAAAAAAACTAACCCTCGGTGGTTGATTTGGTTGATTTTCCATTTCTGATTGTGAGGGTGGCTCTGAGAGATGGAGATAGACGGATTTCGCCGGAAATGGAGACGGATTTCGTCGGAGATGGGTGAGAGAGTGAGAGATGGAGATGGGACTGAGTTGTGATTTTAGGTTTTAGGTTATGAGTTGCTATTACGGGATATACTGTGAACGGTTCAGTGTTCCAATATATTAATATTCGTGTTTGAAATTTGAAAATAAAATACGCTTTGCAATACTTATTCGCATTGCGAATTGGGAAAATCGCAATGCGAAATTGGAAAATCGCATTGCGATAGAAATAATCGCGTTGCGAAAATGCAACGCGAATTTGCGATAATGGAGATCGCGTTGCGAATTAGCGATCGCATTGCGATTTTGTTGGTCATTTTGGCAAATCCGGAAAAAGTTGGTTAAAATCATATATTATATGGGATTTTTGGTCACTGAGGTTATTTTCTCTATAATTATTTGTTACATTGAAGCCTAATGCATGAATTGATTCTTAAGTATACTGCTTTTCATGCTTTAATTCTTATTAATACTTAAAATATGAAATATTAACTAATGATCAGCTGATCTAGTAGAATGAAGTATTAAATCATTTAAAGATGATTAAGATTTCGAATCATAATACTTACGAATGGAGTAAATTAAATTGAGGGGATCGCTCTCATGTTAACTTTAAACCTTGGTAGACTCCTCAAAGCCCGGATTGAAGCACGGAAGAGACCCCGAGATGCTTGTTGAATCCTAGATAAAATGTCCATTTTGATCTCGAAAGATTCCGCCTGCTGCACTGACACTATCGCTTGGAGAAACAAATAGAAGCAAACCTTATTGAAGCAAACAGAATACCCATGGGGAATTTGATTGGGAGCTTACCTTATTGAAGCTTAAAAATTGGAGGTAATCCGATCGGTTAGCTGAAGCTCTAGGAATCGAGACTGGGGCTTGGTTTCCAAGCCCTTTCTGAATTGGGTAGCTATCTCTTTTTTCCTTTGTCATGTTTTCCAAGATATCAAAACAATAAAAAATTTCATAAAAATAATCCAAATTGAATATTTCGACAATCGAAACCCACATATCTCTTAAAGTAAATTTCAAAGTACCATTAACTATTTAAAACTAATCGAGTTTGGTTTGCTTTATTGTTGATAATAAAGATTTTTTAAGATTATTGTGAAATTACGATTAAAAAACTCTCAAAATATGAGTATCATTGAAATGACCGATGAGTGTCGCTTTAAATTACTTCAAGTCACTGTACATTCACCATGTTCGATGAGAAATTTTTATTTGAAATGAAAGGGGGAAAAACAATGAAGGGAAAGTTTTGAGAGAAATTATTAGGAAATTTTGTAGAATGGAAAAAGAAAGTAGTCATGAAAAAAAAGAAGCAAAATAAAGTTTTTAGAGAAATTATTAGGAATTGTCCATCATAAAGTTGATGGATGTTGTAGAATGGATGTACGATAAGGAAATTATCATCTATGAGAATGGAGCCATTGACAGAAAGGAAACCTACTGATTAATTAATCAGTGGCAATATTCCTTTCTTAGACATGCAGAATGCTTTAACATTCCCTTGTCTTCCCCGCCACCTTTAGACCACATAAACACCCTTCCTACAACCACAATCTACCTCGGTTCCGAAACCTTGTCTACTTTCTAAAAACACAATGTCCAGTTCCGACAGGTTACCGCTCCGACGCACCGATCATGACTCCCAACCCATGAAACGACAGCGCACTGCTCGGTACTACGCCGAACGGGTTCGTGAAAGCTGCACAGCTAGGGTCACCAAAACAGTGTGCGCCATATTTTTAGGTCTTGTTTTAGTTGTTGGCATTGATTTCTTCATTTTGTGGCTTACTTTACGCCCCCATCGTCCGAGGTTTCATATGGTGGAGTTTACCGTTCCTGGTTTGGCTCAACCCACAGGGTTTGAGAATGCTGAAATAACGTTCAATGTCACTGTCAGGAACTCCAACCAACACATAGGAATCTATTACGACTCCATGGTCGGCTCGGTTTTTTACAGAGATCAACGAATTGGGTCAGCTCCATTGATGGATCCGTTCTTCCAGAAACCGAAGACGACTACAGTTGTGGACCGTACGTTCGGGGCGGCCACGCTTACGGTGAACAGCAAGCGATGGGAGGAGTTTATGAACGATAGGCAGAAAGGGACGGTGGTTTTTCGTTTAGATATAACGTCAGTCATTAGATTTAAGGTTTCTACATGGAGGAGTAAACATCATAGGATGCATGTTAACTGTGATGTTGCAGTTGGTCGAGATGGAACGATCTTGCCCGCTTGGAAGAACAAGAGATGTCCCGTTTATTTCAGTTGATTATTGCGTATATATATATATATATATATATATATATATATATATATATATATATATATATATATATATCCTATTACACTATGTAAAACTCTTTTAGTTTATATATATTTATAATAGTTGGATAATAAAAATATATAGATGAAATTAACAGTAAAAAATGAGAAAATGTGTTGTGTAATTTTGCATATTATATAATCATTCCTGTTTGATTTGATTAATTTGTACCATTATGTCTTATGATACATAATTTTAAACCATTCAAGCTTAAATAGGATGTGAATGGAGTAAAACTTTGCAGCTTAAAGCTTTGTCTAGACTTAGGGATGAATAATTGATCCGAATCTTATGGATTTTGATTCAATTCAAATATATTGGGTTGATTTTTTTAAATTGATTAATTTGTACCATTTTGTCTTATGATACATAATTTTAAACCATTCAAGCTTAAATTGGATTTGAATGAAGTAAAAACTTTATAGCTTAAGCTTTGTCTTAACTTAGGGATGGACAATTGATCCGATTCTTATGGATTTTGATTCAACTAAAATATACTAGGTTGACTTTTTAAAAAACCCAGGTTCGAGTCGAGTCAAATTTTCTGAAGGTATGAGGTCGAGGGTGAGAGTTTAGAGTGCAAAAAGCTTTCACCCGACCTAATATAATATTATAATTATTATTTATATATTTAAGATAATTACAATAATACTAATCTGTATATTATTATTTTTTTCAATTACGTCATTATTTTATCTATATGTATATTGGAAGAGTTTAATTTTTTATCTCGAGTTCAGATAGGCCAAAAACCAAACCCGACCCAAGAACTCACCATAAATCGACGATATTATGTACTCACGTACGATTTAACTCACGGCCTTATATAAGTTACAAAACTAAAGATGCGAACAGAAGGCTTAATTGGTGAATCTAGATTTATTCTTAAGAAAGAAAGCTTCAAGTCAAGAGGTAAACTGTCGTGCAAAAATTAGTCCTCTGAACCTTACATGTCACATAAAGCAAAGTCGCTCGCTAAAAAGGAAAGGATACAGTTCGTATCTTCTCAACTTTCTACCTTAAACTTACATCCTTGGACGAATGAAAGACTTAAGCTTTAACTTTATTCTCACTCAAACCACTATTTCCCTACACCCTGTCATTAACCAAATTCCATTACCAATCAATTCCTGTGGAAACCTCTGTTTTGTTTTCCATTCTCAAACAATAATGTGCGAAACCAAAAGCGTTACCTTTTGGATTCTTCAGATTATTGGCCTTCTTGCTCTTTGTCTATGGCTAGCGTTGCGTCCCAGAAGTCCCAATTATACGATCATGAACTTCTCCATCCCTTCGTCAAACGATACTAATGCATCCAATCATGGGATCATCCCTTCGATAATCCAAAAAAAAAAACTCAGGTATTTACTACTATGATTCTTCCTAGTCTTTTATCATGGGGTGGATACGGTAGGGAACAACACTATCCCGTCATTTTATCAAAGTATAGGAATTTTCGAGTGCTCAACCATGTCAATGTTGACACCCCCCTGTGGACAGCTCTTCGCAGCAAAATACAGAATGTCACAGCTGAATTAAGAGTCGATTAATCAACTAAAATCAGATATAAGACATGGGGCATAAAGAGTAAGCACCATGGATCACACAGGGAAGGAAATATACCGATAGGTAAAGATGGCAAGATATCCAACAACAAGAAGAAAGTTAAACTTCGGCATGCATCAAAAAGGTTGAAACTAAGGGCTACCAGATTTCTCTGAAGTCTTTTTAACACCTTGCCATGGTTTTCTTTATGTATGTCACTTTCTTCTTTCCTCCTTGGTTCTGTATATATCAATGAGTTCCCGGATACAAAGAAAAAATATTTTTTTTATGTTGATGAATTCAAGTGTTTAAATGTAACCATCAAATGTAGGCATGCAAATAAAACGATATTATTCTTTTCTATTACAAGTACCAAACCTTCAATCTCATATATAAACTTCTTTGTTTATTCCAAAAGAAACATTGCAAAATTCTTATACCTATCTTTCCTCCGAAACAGACAAAATATTTCATGTGATAATATGATACACTAATTGAGAAGATCAATATACCGGAGTAGTTTATTAGAACAGAAAAAAGTTACAATGCTTAATGAGGTTACTACTTTCATTGACACAACAGCAAAAATAAAATACAAACAAACCTTTCCATATCATAGATGAACATAATCAACCTTTCGACCAAAATCTGACTTAAAATTGCAAAATCCTTTAGTCATACGAGGAAATAAAGCAGTTGACATTACCAAAACCAAGTCTAAGAAATCAAAGAATTGAAGTTGTGGTCATGGTCAAGGAGAAATCATACAGTTAGCATTCTATCTCCCTCTCTCCAAATTAGTTTCAAAGAAGGAAAAAAGGGTAAAACTTATTAGGGAGACAAGTACCATATATAACTGTATGAACTAAGCTGTTAATAAACCTCAGGATTCCCCCTTTTCTGAATTCCGTCTCTGAATAGCTATTTGTCTTCGCCAAACATGAATAGGAACCTGCAAAGTGATGAATATGTTTAGGCCTCTTTCTGTGTCAACCTTGCAAGAAACTAAATTGGCTGATGAGCGTTTAATCTACAGTTCCACCCTGATAACAGATCAGAGTTATTGAGAATGTAGAAGTATCCTTACAGAAGGGAAGCCACCGTAGTCCCCAGCCTCTCTGATGTCCTTAGTGACACAGCTATTAGCAGCTACTCTGACCTGCAACGGCCAACTTCAGTTAGAAACATACATTTCTTGGAATTATTCATAACTTTGACTCCTCTGCTGTGCCGATGGAAAATAACCAAATCAACAAGGGAAAAACATACAATAAGCAAGACATCTGAGCAAGTAGACAAGTCTGAATTTCACCAAGGCCTCTCAACAATTTTATGCAAAAATTCTTTTTTTCTTCTTAACATCAAGTAAATACCTTTGATACAATAGAGACATGATCACGAACTGCTGCTCTCCCCCCTAGAACTACGTAGTCTCCTATCCTGTGGCAGGAGAAACAAAATATGATCAGAACTCCAAGAAAAATTGAAAATTTCATCATGTTCACATGCATGACATGAATACACTCAACTACACATGAGAAACTTGAAGGGAAACAGGGAAAGAAGAAAGAAAAACTAAATGGATAACAATAACATACATCACTGAACCTGCTATGCCGACCTGTCCACAAAACATGCAACTTTTCCCAATAACTACATTATGTCCAATCTGCAAAGGCATTTGGTAAGATTATACCATGAGCATTCCTATCAACATGGCCAGCCAGGAAGAAAAAATACCCACCTGAACCAAGTTATCTATCTTTGAGTGATCTCCTATTACTGTGTCTCTCCAACTGCAGAGCCAAATAGGTGATATACTTTTGTTAAACATCTGTCTGCTCAGAAATGCAGAAACTAGTTAGGAGGGGAAAACATTCAGATTCAAATAGATAACTAGCCTGCCCCGATCAATGCATGTGTTAGCTCCAATATCCACATGGTTCCCTATCCTAACATTTAGCATCTGAGGAAAAACAGATGAAAAAAAATAGTATACCAAAATACATTTTCAACAAATCTAAATAAAGTATCTGAAATCCACTTTTGATAATTTCCAGTGGCTAACAGGCATGAATTCTTTTCTATATCAGTAAGAATGAATTCAATAACATAAGAAATGTCAATTATAAAGTGTTTCCTAAAGTTTGGCCTCTTAGTGCTCAATACACAAACAAAGAAGGTCCTAAAACAGCATAAGAGACAAATTAAACTATCCTAACAGTTAATAGATTGTATATATGTTTCAGGTTTATAACAGTTTTCTATGTTATGTATATATGTTTCAGGTTTATTACAGCTTTCTATTAACATGTTTAGTCCATTGTTAATTATTTAGGGTATTAAAAATAGTATCATGTTATTGATGTATTTTTCAAGTTTGTGAATGTTGTAGTTATTAAAGTCCAATAAACACCAACTTGAGGCTTCTTGACCATGTTTCCATCCTCATTGACAAAAAACCCAAATCCTGCAAATGATAAAATCAGACAAACAATTCAACTCCGGTATAAAATTACATATTAATAATCCTATCACACGGGCAGGGATGTAACTGGATATATGTTAACATTTTGATAGTGGATTAACCATCAAAAGTATAATAAATCCCATGTCTTTTATAACTTTCAAGCTCAGAAGAAGATGGCCTTACCATCTTGGCCGATGCAAACTCCATTATGGATTACACATGAATCACCTACAGCGCAGTTACTCAGTGCAGCATTATACCTGAAGAAAGCTCAATAAAACAAACTGTTAAAAAAGGAGGCCCTAAACACAAAATATAAGCAAAAAATGGAAGTTTCACAGCGTGGGATGTCTGCATATCAAAAGATTTACCCAATCTTTGTAAATTGACCGATGGTAACACAAGGTCCAACGACAGTCCCTGACCCAACACGAGCATTTGAACCCAACACGGATTTCGGATGAACAATGGCCCCGAACTCAATAACCGCAGTTGGATCAATAGAAGCTGATTTATGAAAACGGCCACCTCCATTTTGCCATAGCAAAAAATCCTGGGCATCATCAGCCTCAACTCCGGTTTCTGTCTTGACAAAAAAAAAAGAAGATGAAGAAAGAGCGAAGTTAACCGGCAAGTATTTTGAGTAATATGTCGTTGAGACATTTTATCAAACAGGTGAGATGCTATAGAAACTGACCGGAGTTCACATGGCTTGTAGAGAATGTGGATTGGGTAGTTGAGGATTCGGAGAAATTATAGAGAGTTCCAAAACGAGGAAAGCTCCTGAAAACGAAAGGAGCAATGGGGGATACTCTTTTCAGAGTAACTGCCATAACGACCAGGTGAAAGTTTCAGTTACTGTGACAGTTTATTGGAGAGATGGAGAAGAGAGACGGTGAGGTTTCTTTTCCTTGGATTTTGGCAAAAGCTACAGCCTACAATGGAGATGAACCCTTAACCCCAGTTTTGTCTAATCTTCAAAACTTTGAAATAGGCTTATATTTTTGGTTTAAATATGTTAGAGTTCTTATAGTATTTCAAAATTTTAAATTTAGCCTGTATTCTTTATTTTTGTGAAATTAAATATTTTTATTTTTTTTAAAATTCGGTTCATTCACTCATTTCTGTTCAATTTTATAACTGTTGATCTCATATCTATAAAAAAAATTCTTATTAATTTCGGATAAGTACAAAGTAATATATACTCAAAGAAAACTCTCAACCATTTAATATTCATCGCTCGTATCCATGGCATTGCCAGTGTTTAAACTCGAAACCTCAAAAAATATCAACAATTTCTTTATCATCAATACCAGTGGGATAATAAAATAATTATAATAACGTAAACTTTTAACATGTTGTCATATTCTATTATTATATATTTACTTAATTGTATTTATTATTATCATTGAGTATATTTATTTATATATTTTTTTTGTTTTTCTTAATTATTTAATTAAAGTTTTCAATTTTCCTTTATATGATACAATTTTTGGAACAAATGAAATAATATATATTTTTTAAAATGATAAAAGTAAAGTCATCTTGTATTTCACCTCTTGAAATTCTCCACTTGCTTGTTAACAAAGATAATGCAGGAGATGTAGCGGTTGATATCCGTCAACACTCGGCCCGCTGATTAATTCAGCTTTAAAAATGCCGAAGAACTGAAAGTCTGAAAATCCACCTTACCGGAAACTTCGTCGATTGTGGATAATCTTTACCAGTCTCTTGTTTTTCTGCCAAATCCCCAAAACTTGTACCAACATTCTGTGGCTTCGTTTTTTCACAAACACAGTAACCACCGCGTCTTGAGTTGACTTCTGCATCAACATGCCCCCATCGTAAACAGTACGATAAACCATTTTTAGTTATTTTCTGTCATAGTCATTTACGTTGGACTTCAACATAGTTTACTAGTAAACCCGATCTGGTGATTTCCCTTGAAAGTTCTTCCCTGAAATTGCACAGCAAATAACTCCCTGTCACGAGTAATTTTTAAGGTTTGCTTGTAGGGTAAAACTGCAGTAGAGCCATTCTTGCAGTTCAGCAGAAGAAACTGGGAATTTAGACAAGATATGGAACATTCAACGAGTTTCAGACAAACCCTTCATTCGCTTCTGCTTTGTTCTTTTCTGTTCGGTCTTCATAATCTTGTTCTTGCTTATCCTCCCTATCCACTTTGTTCAAACAGTACCGATAATAATAGTTCATTTCAGAATAGTCTGCAAAATCTCCTGGATTCACTGACCTCAAACGCTTCGGTCTCCAAATACTACAATCTCTCCTAAGAGAACGAATCCGATACAGTTTACGGTCAGTTCATGTGCCTTGACTACGTTAAAGCCGATGAGTGCCATAACTGCATCTCAGGGGCGTAGCAGGCTATAATGAGTCTTTGTGGGAACAAAACGGAAGCGGTCGTATGGGAGGAAGTTTGACAATTGCGTTACTCGAATGTTAACTTTCTCCGTCGGTTGAACGTTGAAGACAACATCGGCAAAGACAATGTAATTAATATCTCCGAACCTGTAAAGTTTCAAGCTATTGTGGAGAACAAGCTGATGAACCGTATACTGTCGACGTACGCTCTGGTGCAGTGCACCTTAGACTTATCCCCCGACGAATGTAACACATGCCTAGTAGCTGCCATAAAAGACGTTTCATCACAGTGCTACGGTTCTCGTGGGGCACGATTGCTTAGTCGCATGCCTTTTACGAAACCTACAAGTTCAACAAGAGGTATGCAGTTTCATTGAAATTCCATGAAACTGATACAGTTCCATGAAAGTGACACACAATTCTTCGCTTCGAATGCAGGCGGAGGAAATGGAAAGAAAGTATGGGTGATTGTAGTTATTACAATTGGATCAGCATTTTTACTGGTAGTGCTGACGGCTTCCATTGTATACTGCGGTGTAACGAAGAAAGGAACTCGAAAAGGTAATCATAGCAACAAGTTCTCTAAAATCTTCATGGTTTTTAAGGCCTTTAATTAGAAGCTGAAGTTTTTGCTCTTTGTTTTGATGTCCCAGGGAAGGACGAAATCGTTAGAAATCATGTTCTACAACACAATAATGGCGACCATGAGAACCCAGGTGTCCAGGATCAGTATTTTGAAGGGTTAGATGAGTTAAAAGCAAATGATTCTTATATTGATTTGGCAACTATACACTCAGCTACCAATAACTTCTCGGATTCGAACATGCTCGGACAAGGTGGTTTTGGACCTGTTTACAAGGTAATATTGATACCCAAATCAACAAATCTGCAATATATTTTGCCTATTCTGCAATTTAAAATAAAACGGATTGTTTTTTAGGGTGTACTTGCTGATGGAAAGGAAGTTGCTGTCAAAAGGCTTTCAAGCTTCTCTGAACAAGGTGCCTTGGAGTTCACAAATGAAGTCCTACTGATTTTGAAACTTCAACATAAAAACCTTGTCAGGCTTCTGGGTTTTTGTGTGTACCAGCAGGAAAAGTTGCTTGTTTATGAATTCATGCCCAACAGCAGCCTTGATGTTATCCTCTTTGGTATGTTCTTAAACTCTAAATTTGCTTTGAGTTTATTTTTTAATCCCTTGAATCTAAAAATGACTCGAATGTGTTTGCTTGATACTTGTTTTTTTTTTTTTTTTTGCATCAGATCCGAAGAAACGTGCACAACTCGATTGGAGCAAGCGTCTGAACATTATTTATGGAATTGCAAGGGTAATTATTTATCTACACGAGGATTCACGGCTGAGGATCATACATCGGGACCTAAAGGCTAGCAACGTGTTGCTCGATTTTGATATGAACCCGAAAATCTCGAATTTTGGAATGGCGAGAATCTTTGCAGGCGCAGATAGCGAAGCTAATACAGCATGAATAGTTGGAACTTAGTAAGGCAAAAGAACATTGTCTGATGATCTGCTAAATATTCTTTCTGAACCATACTCAAATCTGGGTTTTTTTTTTTTTGTAGTGGATATATGGCTCCAGAGTATGCCATGGAGGGATTGTACTCGAATAAGTCTGATGTTTTCAGCTTTGGAGTACTCTCGCTTGAGTTATTACAGGCAAAAGGAATGCAGGGTTTCATAAATCGACCCTCGTTGCATATGTAACTGTTTTTAACCAGCTTACTTGCTTTTCTCTTCGATTTACTATATACCGTTAGTCACTTCGAATCGTGATGCAAGCATGGCATCTATGGAACGAAGGGAATGCTTTGGAGTTGATGGATCCGTTACTCACTGATGTATCGCCGGAAGCATTCTTAAGATTCATACATATCGGACTGTTGTGCGTTCAACAAGATGCATGTGACAGGCCTACAATGTCATCTGTTATGGTTATGTTAAAAGGTGAAACCGTGACACTAAGCCAACCACAACAGCCTGCCTTCTCTTCGGGAAGATTTGCGGAGCATCATCAAAGATTCACTCGAAGTTGTTCCGCAAACAGTTTATCAATTTCGAGCATTGCACTGAGATGATTGACGCCCGAAGTCGGGTGATGCAGGAAATTTGTATCTTTTCTTTACGTAAAGGTTTATGCCTGTAATGGTAACTTCATTTGACAGGAACTTAGCACTAGTAATCAACTTTTAGAAGGGATATTGTATGCAATGGAAAGTATGTGACATAGCAACAATGAAAATGAAACCATTGATTGTGAACCATTCAAATTCAATCCTCATCAACACTTTTGAGATATTTTTCTAGCAGACATTTTGATCAAGCCTCAATGGCCAATGCATCAGTTCAGATATTTTCATCAATCTCTATTCAGAAAAAAAGCTTAATTACCGTAAGTGGGCATTCATCACTCCCCACCATCATCATCCCCTTCATTACCACACTAAACGTACCTGAAAGATCGATGACAGCCATGGAAACGGCTCTCAACTCACTGTCCTCAAGCTCCAAACCATCTTTCCTCGAACACAAATCATCCTTCCATGGCACTCCAATTCCATCTAGCTTCACACCGATTAAATCCTCCTCGCAAAACTCCACCATTTCCATGTCCATCTCCACTCCTTATGACTTACAATCCTTTAAATTCCAACCCATCAAAGAATCCACCGTTTCACGCGAAATGCACGCCGCTACATGATGGACATGATCACCTACGCCGACACAGATGTTATCATCGTTGGTGCCGGTTCCGCTGGCCTCTCGTGTGCATACGAGATCAGCAAAAGCCCCGACATCCGTGTCGCCATAATTGAACAATCCGTTAGCCCCGGAGGAGGCGCATGGCTAGGCTGCCAACTGTTTTCATCCAAGGTAGTTCGCAAACCGGCTCACAGGTTCCTCGACGAGCTCGGCATCCAATACGACGTACAAGAAGACTACGTCGTCATAAAGCACGCATCTTTGTTCACGTCGACAATCATGAGCAAGCTGTTGGCAAGGCCGAACGTGAAGCTGTTCAATGCCGTGGCTGCCGAGGATTTGATAGTGAAAGGAAACCGAGTTGCCTGCGTGGTGACGAACTGGGCTTTGGCGTCGATGAACCACGACACTCAGTCTTGTATGGATCCGAACGTGATGGAGTCAAAAGATTGTGGCCAGTTCTTGTGGACACGATGGACCATTTGGAGCAACAGGTGTGAAGAGATTGAAGAGCATAGGGATGATGGACAGCGTCCCTGGAATGAAGGCACTGGACATGAACACTGCAGAAGATGCAATCGTTAGGCTTACAAGGGAAATTGTGCCTGGCATGATTGTAACTGGAATGGAAGTTGCAGAGATTGATGGTGCTCCAAGAATGGTAAATAAAAATCCTCCATTTTTACTTTTTTTTTATCTGAGTTACTGATGTTTTATAATGAAATTCCTGGGTTTTGTTTTGCAGGGACCACCATTCGGAGCAATGATGATATCAGGGCAGAAAGCACCACACTTGGCTTTGAAGGCATTGGGGCAGCCAA